GTTAGGCACAACAACATTCTCAGCACCGTCCTCGACTTCCTCAACGTCCTCTACTCGTTCTTCTGGCTCGTTTTCTCGGGTATCATTTACAACAGTTTCATTGATTTGTGCACTTTCAACGTCTGTCAGTTTTTTGCTGCGCATAATGAATCTCCTCAGATTTGCTACAATCCTTGACAAAAGTCCTTGGAACACCCTGCGACCAATGAAAGATTTTGAAGAAATAAAGGTTTCCGGCTGTAAGATACAGAAATATCCCCCCTCCCCCCAAAAACAACGTTGGCTGAAAAGCCTATTACTTACCCTAGGTGACATTGGACGACTTTCAAGCTGTTGTTATTCAACATTGTTTCAAGTGGGAGAGGGGGATGCTACTGAAGTTATGCAAAATTTCAGCTTGGTGTACCAAGACTTTTGGCAAGGATTGTAGTTTATTTGAATATAATGCTTCAATGTTGTCACTCTCACTGTTGCGTGAGCACCATGTAACAAAAGTGTCCTCAGTGTTGTTTGTTTGAGGTTTTTCAAGTGCGTAGTAAAATAAAATACATTACTTCCTTGTATTCTTCTCTACTCCAACTTTTTCTTTTTTCTTTTTGTTGTCGTCTTTCATTTTTCTACTTGGGTTGAGATTATGTAATGTTTTATATATTTCTGTAAGAAGCAGTTGCAGATTTTTATCATGGACAGACGTCGAGTTGTCTTTTTCAAGAAGATTTTGAAAGCTTGATTCATAGTCATCATAGGCAAGACGCAAAGACTGTTCATGAATTCTATTTATTCTGTTGTTCATCTGTCGATCACAAAACATCCAAATTAAAGGGCAGTAGCTAAATTGTGATAAAATGAAGACGTGCATGGTCTGTTTCACTTTTCTATCATCCATGTAGTTGGAGATTCGGGATACAGCATGTAGCTTTTGACTGGCCATTTTGCATATCGATTGTACGTGTCCTTTGAACGACAAATTATTATCAATACTTATTCCAAGAAGTTTTTGTTCTTTACTTGGTTTAATTATCGTTTTATCTATTTTCAGAGATGTGTCATTGCTGCCTTTACCAAAATTTATAAGATGGCATTTATCCCCATTCAGTTTCATATAATTATTTTTAAACCATTCTCTCAAAATAACTGCGTCTTGTTCTAGTGTTTTAATAGCCTGCTTTATGTCTTGGTGGATGACATATAGCGTTGTATCATCAGCATAATTGCATATTCAGCTATTTGATATAAACATAAACATGTCATTTATGTATATATTGAACAAGAGAGGTCCCAAAACTGATCCTTGTGGCACACCTACCCTGGATGCAACCGTCATTCATCCAACTCTATTAAAAGACTACCTTTTCTTATCAGTATGTTAATGTTTACACCAAAAAGCAACGCACGAATTAACCATCATAATAGCCAAAGACCGAGATGCAACTTTTTGTTTGGGGGGGGGGGGAGGGGCAGCCCTGATAAATAAGCGTAACAACAGCCTTATTTTACAAAGCAAAAATATCTTAATTATGCTACATAGGCTTTTTTTGGGGGCAAATACTCAGGTATCTCGGTCCTTGATAACAGCGATATGAAACAGAACGCCAGACACTGAAAGACACTTTTTGCCGTGCAATGCGGAAATCAGTATGCTTCACTGCCTCACTACAGAGTTATCCCTCTAGCGTACTTTACACACATCATTGGTTTGCATTTACATAACAAAAATCGAGCCCTCAACCGAATTCAGGCTAGTTTGTCTAGTGTAACCAGGGCTAAAGTTTCACGCGGAAGTGGAATTGAGATGACTGCTCAATGGTGTCGAGTGACGATTGTGTATCAAAAATATAATAACATTTAATAGTAATAACTTCATAGACTTGTGTGTATTTGGTATTGAAGAAAGGCAGCAAGTTTGCCATTTGTGGCTTCATCGACTGTTTTGCAGACTTAACTGTTATAGTTTATCTGCTTTAGTCTATCACTGCGGCCGAAATTGAGAATTTGCTTTTATACGAATCATTGACTGATTGTTCTACGAGCAGGCCATTTATTTTGGTGATGTTTTTTTTCGTTCAACTTCTTGGCTGGTAGGTCAACGAGAGAGACAGTTGCAAGGTAGAAGATGTTATGTAGTATCATTTGATAGCTCACCAAAATTTGTGGCATCGTAGCGATTGCTGTCGGTCACGTCCATCATGGGAATAAAATGGAAATGGCATCCCATTTTGGGCCTAGTCCTGTTAACCTTGGGCTGTACTGTGAATCTTACCAAAGGAACAGAAGGTAGGCAGTGACTCTGTTGTTGCGCAAAGCAACATTGCCATTATTGCAAATTTTTTAGTTATTCGGTGTATGGGACTAGGTAGTGTCTTTTTCTGAAAAACTCTCAGTCTGTTTGTATCTACAGGTTTCTCCGTGACACGTGAAGAATAACTACAAAAAGCCTCTAGATTAAAAAGTGAAAATAGTGGCAGCAGGCCTTCCTGAGAAAATATTAGCGATATGAGGAGTTGTTTGTGAAGTTATTCGAAATATGATATCTAGCTTTGCATCTCAATAGGAAAATTGTATAGGAAAGTCGATCAACGATATGTGATTTGCCTAGATAATGACCGTTAGAAAATCGATGATAACGATGCCATATAGATTTTGCTAAAACAAAGGATTATCGAAAGACGGTATGGTTTTTGCACTACCCTGCAAGACCCCTGGAAAGTTGTGCTCATTTCCAGTGAAATTTCGTGTGGCAAGGACCAGAGAAGCGTTCGCCCTGCAATCGAAGGATTTGAAAATGAAATCAATCTCGAGGAAATCGAGAATCTTATTGATAACTGTAGTAATAGGGGAATAAATAGGTTTTGTAGCTAGATAAAAGGTCAAGGGAAAATTAAATTCTCATAACAAAAGATTTTGAAATAGCTCTATTGTTTTGAAAATATAGGGGAGCCATCACCCCCCCCCCCCCCCCCCCCCTGGTCACTTGTATTATTCCATAACATTAATTTATTCACAAGTTAATTTGTTTAAAGGGCCTCTCCAGCCAAATTTTGTACTTGCATTTTATTGGCTAATCTAAAGGAGTTGAACCTGCTGATCACGAATTCGTTATTTGTTTTTCGATATTTTTTATAGTTTGTAAGATATACGCTCTTGCATTTCGATAATTGAATTGAATTAACCGACAAAAAGTTTTCGGTTTGGTGATACTGTGACGCAATTTTGACGTCACAGTGTATTTCGTTAGTCTCGCCTCAAACCGAATCGAACGACGGCGATTCGCAAATTGAACACTGCAAGTGATGGTACTCTCAATTCTGTTCCACCGGCTTTTAGTTTGAGCATTTCAGATATCAATTCTGAAGCCTTTAGTTGTTCATCGTTTCTGGAGAACAACTGAAGTGTCAATTTCGATTAATTATACGCGAGGGAAGAGCTAGAATAGGAAGCCGTAGCTTTGTGGGCCTACACAGGTGATCAAAGCAAAGTCGTGACACAGCATGGACACATTCCGACCCGCAAACTTAGAATGATTGTAAACATTTAATATTTTTCGATCCTAAAAAACTCCTGCTCTAGATTTAGATGCAGTTATCAACGCGTGACCATGATTTCTTCACGATTCGGTGGAAGATATACGAAATTCATGGCGAACGAGAGCCGCACATTGTGACGTCAGAATGTCACAAAACTGATTCGGCTTTTGTCGTTTTTTTCTCGGAAAAGTGCAACTTTAAAGGTATATAACTTCTAAACTAATTGGAATTTTGCAAAAACAACGACTTTGCCATGATACAAGCACCAGATGCTAACTTTTTAGTCAATAAAAAAATAAGATAGATAGAATTGGTACCATTATGTATGAAAATGAGTTTCAATTTGAGATTGTGTATCAATGACATAATGTTATATTTTTCTATCATCCTGGTTTATGCTTTTTTGTTCATAGACTGTCATTTCTTTCCAGTTCCTGTTCCATTGCCTGAACTTGGTCTTTGGAGGAAAGAGAAAAATCACGCTAATCCTTCAAGTCGCAATTTTGTAAGTATAAACAAATCACTATGAAAATCTATAACATAAACATTTCAGGGCAAGGGGACATGGTATGGTAATAGTAGTTGTTATTTTAACAGGAAATAAGTAGAAAGACTAGGAAACAAGAAGAAGCAAGTAGGAAAGGAGTAGGAAACGAGTAGGAAACGAGTAGGAAACGAGTAGGAAACGAGTAGGAAACGAGTAGGAAACGAGTAGGAAACGGCTATAAAATAAGCAGAAATGAAAAAAATTCAACTGCGGCTGCGATTTTATTGATGATGACAGTAGTTGAAGTGGTATTTGCGTAGGAAACATTTGTAACAAGTGCAAATCTCACTGGAAACATGGAAACTTTGCTCTCAGAAATCCGCCTGACCAACGTCATAATTTTTACTAAATTGAGCTACAATCCGGGACAAAAATAGTTTAGACTTTTCAAGAAAACTCTATGTTTTCTCTTTCTTTTGAAAAATAGCTTCTACTTCGCCTCCTCTTCGCATCGAGGCTCACTGTGCTGAGCAGTTTATTACGTTCTGATAGGAGATATCTTCCGGTCACATGATTCAACCCGTTATTCAAAGAAAAATAGGTTTGTAAAGGTTTATAATACCCCGCCCATGCACTCAACCTCAGTTTTTTCGAGCGCATCTTTCATCCCGCTCTCAAGATGAATTGCGACGAAAATAATTTGCTACATGAGGACCTTACTCCAGACGACGTTTCGGCGAAGTCGAAGCCAGATGACGCCGAAAACAACCAGAGATCAAGAAAAAGAAAAACAATCTCAAGGTCAGAGTTTGATGACTTCCAAAGCCAGGTGAAAGGCGTTTCAGATGCCCTTAATAATTTTAGCGAGATCTTTCGATCTTTCCTCTACAAGGAAAAACGTCAAAAAACTAACGTGGGTACAGCAGCTCAGTCTGCTCCAACCGCAGCTCAGTCTGCGCCATCTGCAGCTCAGTCTGCCCAATTTGTAGCCGTAGTCGAGGCTCGTAAGAGAATACTTCATGTGGCTTACTCTCAGAAAGATCTATTACAGAATAACAAAACATACAGCACAGCGGAATATAAGCGAATATAGTCTAACAAGCAATTGTCCAGTAACGGGGGTATAACCCTACATTTCCTCCCTCCTATATAAGAATGGCGGACCATGGAATGTCGTCTGGAATTTGGCGAGCTCTCCTGTTCCTCAACGGGTATCGTCTATCCTGGACTTGGTGTTCTCTGTCTTGATTATCGTCATCCGTATCAGGGCTATAGTCATCGCTATCGCCACCGTCGCTACTTTGGCTGTCTTTTAAATCACTTTCAAAAGAGTTATCTATTGAATGCTTTTTAACAATGTTTTTTTCATTTATTTTGAAATCGCGAGATTCACCATCCACTACTGAACTTTCTTTTACGGGTGACAAACGATCATGGTGGACTATTTTAGTTTCCTTTGTTTGGCCATTCGTGATTTCAAAGTTAACTCCATTCGGCAGTTTCTTGGTGACTGTCCACGGTCCCCGGCGCGACGAGGTGCAAGTTTCCTAATCTCGCCAGTCTTATAATGTTTTACTTTGAGCCATACTTTATCACCTACTTTGTAATTAATGAAACGAATTTTTTGATTGTACTGAGCTTGCATTCTTTTTTTGCTTAGTTGTAGGTTAGTGATTACTGTATTGTAAACATCTTTCAAAGCGAAATTACGATCTTCGGCGTATTCTTCAGCAGTGTTTATATCCTTGGGGCAATCCAGAGGATCATGGTCGAATAATACATCGATTGGTAGACGGGCGTCTCTTCCGAAAACAACTTTAAACGGGGTACATTTGGTGGCTTTACTTTCACTTGTGTTCAGTGCAAATACCAACTCTGGTAGCAACGAGGCCCATTTCGACTGATTTAGTTTCCTTTGTAACAATACTGTTCGTAGCATATCTTTAACATTGCGAATATTGCGCTCTGCAAACCCGTTGCCTTGAGAATGGTAAGCTGAAGATCTTCGCTTTTCTATACCCAGGGTATTACAAATTTGTTGGACGGTATTTCATCAACATTTGATCCTTGATCGCTAAGAAGAAAATGTAGAGTGCCATGGATGTATATCCAACGGGTCATCAAAGCATTTACAATTGTGGATGCGGTTTGGTCTTTCATTGGTACTGCTTCAATGTATTTGGAAAATAGGTCATCAATAATTAGGAAATACTCGTATCCTTCGTTGGTCTTTGGCATATAGGAGACATCAATGGCAATGAACTGCATCGGAGCATCTGGAATCAACATTGGAAGTAAAGGCGCCTTTGGTGGTGATGTGTCGCATTTTGTCTGTTGGCAGTGAATGCAGTTAGAAACGAAACGTTTGACGTGTCCATACATGTTTGACCAAAAGAAACGCTCTTTAAGAAAGGAATACGTTTTGTCTGTCCCAAAGTGTGCCATATTATGTATTTCGGTTAATACAAACTTTCGTAATGATGCTGGGACAATTGGACGACCAGATTTTGTTAGAATGTCATTCTCAACTCGGAGTTGGTTTTGAACACGTTTAAATCGACCTTGTAAAATTACTTCTCCATCTGCTACAAGTCGTTTTGCTCTACTGATCACAGGGTCTGCATTTTGTTCTTGCTAAATTGTTCAAGAAATGCAGTGTTGTCTACAATGGTAGTGTAAACCTTGTCGTCAAATGATGATATCGGTTGATCAGGATTTGCACATCGATCTCGAGACAGCAGGTCCGCTTTGACATTATCCTTTCCACGAATTTACGTGACCGTATAATCATGCTCTTCCAGTTCTGATATCCATCTCCCGAATTTTCCTCTTGGATCTTTTTGTTTACGCAGATGAACAAGTGGATTATGGTCGGTACTCAGGATAAATTTAGTACCCGCTAAATAGACATGCCAGTGTCTCACAGCTAAAACAAGAGCAAATGCTTCTTTGGTTATTGGTGTCCATTGACGCTGTGAGCCTTTAAAAGCCGTGGAGAAATAGGCAACTGGATGTAAAAAGCCATTGTCTCCACGTTGAGATAACACACCACCTGCAGCGTAATCACCAGCATCAACTTCGACTGTAAATGTTTCATTGAGCTTTGGAAATGCTAGAACAGGTTGGGATGTTAATCGTTGTTTCAGTTCCTTGAAAGCGGATTCGCATGGACTGTTCCAAATGAATTTGATGTTGTCACAGGTGAGTTTGTTAAGGGGTTCACTGATGACTGCATAGTTCTGAATAAAGCTCCGATAGAACCCTGACAATTCTAAAAAACGCTTTAATTTTTTTCTTGACTCCGGTGGAGGAAATTGATCAATAGCTGCGGTTAAACGATTTTGTGGCTGAATACCTCTACACGAGAGCTCGTATCCCAGAAAATCAACTGATTCTGACGCAAATACACACTTTGATCTTTTCAGAGTTACATTCGCAGATCGCAAACGATCAAAGACTGCTGTAAGATCTTGAATATGTTCATGAAATGTTGAATTAAAGATCACTATATCATCAATGTATGCTAAAACTCTCTCAGTAGAGAAAGCAGATAGACACATATCTATCATCCTCTGGTAGGAAGCGCCAGCATTTGATAGGCCATATGGCATGACGTTGAATTCGTATTTGCCATGAGGCACAGAGAATGCTGTCTTTTCCTTGTCACTTTCTGTAAGAGGTATTGACCAGTATGCCGAGGCAGCGTCCAGTGTTGTCCAATATTTTGCTCCAGCCATCTTATCAATTACATCTTTGATATGAGGCAAGGGATAAATGTCCCTTTTTGTTATGTCATTAACTCCTCTGTAGTCGCATCAAAACGAGTACTATCATCCTTCTTTTTGACTAAAATCACTGGGGCGTTCCAAGGTGACGAAGATGGCCGAATAATATCATTGAAAAGCATTTCAGCAACCTGCTTATCGATATCCTTCTCCCATGCAACAGGAATCCTGCGGGGTTTGTGGCTTACAGGAAGGGCATCATTGGTGACGATTCTATGTTCTAACAGCATTGTTTGACGAGGCTTTTTAGGATTAGAAGCAAAGACGTCCTTATATTGTTCGATCAGTCTGGTTATTTCCAACTTTTGATCACATGATAGTCTTTCACTGATCGTGATATCCGCAAGGGTTTAATTAAGACTTTCATCAGTTGCCACACTCCTGATAATTTCATTGGCTTGTTGCATAAAACCCATCGAGGTTCGCGATTTCAATGTAGTGTTCAAAGAAGTAACATTGAGGACGGTTATTTGAAATACTCCATCAATGTTCGGTATTACACAGGATCTTGTAGCATACAAGCCTGGAATCTTTGGACCAATCTTGGGTTCGAAATCTCCTTGTAACAGAGAATTGTGCTTTGAGGATTTAACTAAAACAACTAATTCTGAGCGAGAAGGAATAGTAACACATTCGTTCAACCTCACTCTTGCTGTTTTGGACGATAATCCAGACAGTGAGAGGTTTCCTAAGTGAATTTTGTTTCTGGCGAAATCAAACCGGACAAAACCGAAAATTCGCATAAAATCTCTGCCAATTAATAAGTTTGAATAAGTCAATGTGTCCAGAACTTGAAAAACATGATTACGAGGCTGGCTACCAGCAAATGTTACATCAATCTTGACAGTTCCCAAGATTTTCATAATTTCCCCGGAAGCGTTTATTAATGATCTTGGGGAGCGTTTATCAATACAATCGTCAAGGCCTATTCTTTGCAATGTTCCTAAATCAATTAACGAACATCCTGAACCAGTGTCCATTATTACGTGAGTGTCCAGCTTTTGGAGTTTTGCAGCAACCACGACAGTACAGCGTTCCTCGGAAAGGCTTGCTTCTGTGGAGGCGGATAGTCATTGGTATTTTGGGCACACAGCGTTCCAGCTATCATGGCCACGTTGGCCACAGGCTTGGCAAAATCGTGTTGGGCAATTCGCAACGAAATGATCGGGGCTTTGACATGACCTGCATTTCTGTTGGTTATTAGAAGTACTGTAGCCGCCACGAAAAATTTTCTCTTCTTCGGGGCTGTCGACCTCTACCGCGACCTCTGAAATTTTTGCCGGAAAATACTCTTTTCCTAACAAAGAATGGATTTGTTGTAAAACTTACATCATTTTCAAGGTCCTCATGGCCCCCGGAACCAAGCTTGATAGAGGTTATTTTGTCAACTACTTTATCAGCAATCGCGTTGACAATGTCGGCTGGAATTTCTTTTAAACTTTTATCTGCGTTGACCTTAATCTCATTAACGGAGCTATGTATGGCAATGTTGGACTGAATCCCCGCTAATTGAAGTGGAGTTGTTTCAGACGCCAGGGTTTTGATGTCACTTGTTGAAAATATATCCATAGATTTAATTTATCCATGTGCGGTTTGCATTTGTGGATGCAAACCGCGCACGGAATAGTCTTTTGAATTCTGGGTAGGCTAATTTCACCAATTCCATCAATTTGTATGCATAGGTATGTGCAGACTCCCCTTGTTTACGAGGCGGTCTGAAAGTTCAAAGTTTGCTTCCTCCCGATTTAACTGCCCTTTCTCGAATTCTTTTAGGAGCTCTTCCTTTATTTTATCAACTTCCTTTCTATCCTCGGTAGATAAACGCATATAAACGTCGAAAGCAGGCCCATCTAATCTGCTTGCCAAATCTTGCGCGCATTTCTCTCCGGTATACCCTTTTAATGAAGAATGTAGCTGGACCTTAACGATAAATTCCTTCACGTTTCCTTGTCCGTTGAACAGTTTGATTTTATTTTCCATTTCGATTCTGTAATAGAAATATAGCCGTAGTCGAGACTCGTAAGAGAATACTTCATGTGGCTTACTCTCAGAAAGATCTATTACAGAATAACAAAACATACAGCACAGCGGAATATAAGCGAATATAGTTTAACAAGCAATTGTCCAGTAACGGGGGTATAACCCTACAAATTTGTAGCTCATGTTGCAACCCCTTCGACGTCTTTCCAAGACGTCCCAATTTCTGCTGCGCTTTCGTCGCATGTGGCGAACACGTCCCCTTATGGGGCTGTTTTTTCGCCTGATTCAAATACAGTTATCTCCCTCGGATCGGTAGACACAGGTTTCAATCCAGTGGACGCCGATCCTGATTTCGCCATGATAAATGTCGAAATCCAACCAAAAACTGTCGCTTTAGTCGACGAAGACATTCCCCAAATATCGTATGAAGGGGATGAGGGTATGAATAGATTTTGGAATGAAGTGAGAAGAACAATTCAGGAAAACCGCTTTGGTCTTGCCATGACTCTATATATGCAGACTCTAAGTAAGGATCAACTACCCTGTCCAGTGGGAGAGTTCTGCAACACTCACAGTCTAATCTATCAGCCTATAATATCAGGCAATATAAACAAGGAACATAATCAGGTTAAGCGTCTTTTTGCAGCTAACATAAGAAACGGTAATGCCTCAGAAAATAATATAATGCCACAATGATTCATACTTTTAGATCTCCCATCTCATCAGGGACGGATTTAGCGGGGGATTGCAGAAGTGCTAGACTCCCGCCCCATAGATTAATCATTTTTTGGTAGTCAGTAGTAACAAAATAATGCCAAGATTTTCCCTTTTTTTCTTCTTATCTTCTTTACCTTAAAGTTGAAAACCGAATTTTGAAAATGGGTGTTTCTCTCATTTTCCAGTGAGTTGAAGGGTGTGTCACAAAAATCCAATTAGCGTTTAACACGCTCTCCAATCATTGTTGCAAAAATCCGTTCCTGCATCTAATCCTTGCACAAATACTTGAAAAACCATCAACAATTTCAAAGGTAGAGATTTTCAACTGTGTAAGTAGAAAGATAGAAATCATACTTTGTTTAGTTGACAATTCGAAACAATAGCTTTATGGTCAAATACACCAGGCATCGTAATTAATATTTTCTGGTCCCAAATTTAATGAACAGATTTAATGTTTTCTGTTTTAACACAATTTTTCATTTTTATCACAAAATCTGTAATCCAATCTTTTATGAACTGCTATGCAGTTTGTTACAGGCTCTTTTTGAGGTAGTGCTTCAAAATTCTGCTTTATTTTTTCTCAAAAAAGCAAAACAATCATATGGACAAGAAAATGATAATTTAAGTCAAACTCTTTTAATAAAAGAAATCCATTTTCTACCATGAACTATCAATCAAAGACCGAGTTTCAACTCTTTGTTTGGGGGTGGGGTGGGGGGGGGGGCAGCCATGATAAATCAGTGCAAAAACTGCCGTTTTTTATAAAACAAAAGTATTTTACTTATGCCACTTAAGATTTTTGTTGAGAGGGGAGCAAGGCCTCCGGCCCACCCCGGCCCCCAGCCCCCCGGTATCTCGGTCCTTGCAAGCCTTTTTACATTGTATATGCTTAATTTTATGGAATTTTGTTACCTACCTTGAGGCCTATTTCGGCAACCTAATAAACATGCTCGTAAAGTCTTTAGCGAAGAAATTTTCACAAGCAATAACTGCCCTCGTGGAAGAGCTTCCGAGGGCTTTTGTCCATTTAACAATACTTGTTAAAGAAATAGTCCTTCAAGGCCTAAGGGGTGTATTAAGAATCATCTGCCCACGATTGTCTAGTATTTGCTCTTCTAATTGCGTGGTTATCGCAAAATTTAGAATGGTGAAACAAGAATGCTTCGTTTTCATAAGAAACTTGATATTTCACTCAGGAATACTTTAATTTATTTAGAAACTAACTTTTCTGTAAATGCTCTTCCTGTCCTTGCAGACCAGACACATTTTTGCAAGGATGCTCAATAGCCTGTACCAATAATTTCCCAAGGGCTGTAGGGAGGGCGAAATCGACCACCCATATAAAGACCAAAATATCCGCTTCTTGATTACTTTATTTTCCTTCATACAATGCATAGCATGTACCTATGAAACTTGTTCCTTTATAGCTGCTTTATACTCGCTATGTTTTTAAAAATTGTCAGTTTGACTGAGAGTTGAATTTAAGTTCTGGAAGTTTTTGTCTGACATGTTGCTCTTGTATTATTGGCTTTTTGGTTGATAAATCAAGGGATTAAGAAATGGTGTGATTAAAAACCATTTTACATGAAGAGCTATCATTAGAATATCATTTTTCTGGTTTTTCTGTCCTCCATACCTCTGCATCAGTTACCTTGACCATCTTTATTCCGATGTCTTGTTACTTGAAATTTTTAATTTAATCTTGCGCTATTATTGCACCAATTGTTTGTGAGTAAGTGCATTTTTTTGCTAAGTCATAAATTGAAACAAGGCACCAGATCATCTGATATTGACTTTTTCATTCCTTTCAGTGGCGGCGAAAGCCAGATAACACAGGGTTCTTCACTTGTGCCGGAAATGATCCATCAGTAGATGGTAATGTTATAACACCCTTTGTCACTACAAATCCAGCCAGACAGATAACCCTTAGAGTTACTTATACTTTGAATTGCTGTGGAGCCAAATTGTCTATTGGTGTCTATGTCCTTTTGGGCTCAGGTGAAACATCTACACCCAGTGCTAAAAGCTTCAAGTACATTTCTGCTTTAAAGAATACCTCATCAATGACTCCCTTCTCTAGAGCACAGTTTACATCAGCTATTACCATTGGAATGGAAGGAGAGACTGGACTTTTTATTGCTTTCAGAGATCAAGGAATTTGTGGAAGCCTTGATTCATTTCATCTTAGTTACATAGAATGTCCAAGTTCAGCAGGGGAATTAATGTCATTTCCACCTAAAACTCCAGCTCCAAATAGCACAGTTTCAGTCCTAGAGGTGCTTGGAACATGTGTTCCCAATGCTGATGTTCAAATTTCGCAAGCAGCCAATTACATGTCTTGTTATACAAATGGTTCCACCAAGGTGAATGGTGGCTGTCATTGCATAGCTGGATATGAGAATAATTTTTTTACTAGCTGTAATGGTGAGTCTATTTAATAAATGAACGCATATACATATACAAAACTTTGTTTTTCATTCATTCCGTGCACCTAAAGATGCCAAATAATATGGTTTCATGAACACTATGATAAAAAATTATCTTGTCTTCTGTTGATTGATAAAGGATCTTAAGGCTCTTGAAGGTAAGAATCGTGAAATTATTTTATCTGGAATGTTTTATTTTTAGTTTTTTTATTCTGTCACTTATTTACCTACAGATTTGATATAAAAAATTTAATGGACTTTTTACATCTTTTTCATGAACGTTGGCTCATTGTTATGTACGTTGGCAAATTTTTAAACTAGCTTCCTAGAATCTTAAAGAGAATGAGCAGCTATAGAAATTGCAAGTGCAATATCTATCAAAAAATTATGTGTCATATTAATACGTTATAACACAAACTTACCATTGTTCTCTGTCTTTCACAAAAACATTTATAGAGTCGAAATATAGTAACCCAATATTCAGGTGATATTCCTTTTTATGAATATTGTAATAAAACTTCTTTTTATCCTAGAAACTTTAAATTTTTTAATACAGCCTAATTCCTGTTCAAATTTAATGAAACTGATATTTAATTTTGAACGGATAGGACATATATCTATCAATTTTCTTGCAACTTTCTGTCATCGCAATCAAAGGAGTGTCAACATGGCTATTTTTTGACAGAATGCCCTACAAAGAGTTTCAAAAGTGCTGCTGGTAACTTTGGTTGTACCAGATGTGGTGCAAATGTTGAGGACGGACTGAAGCCAAGGACAACACCTTGTATATGCAACAATGGATATTACAGACCACTTTTATATCAAAATGTTCCAACTGTCGACTGTGAAGGTGAGCTTAGTTTAAACAGATTATTGATTTTGTTATGAAAGAGAATGAATAAATTTATGTACCCATAAATACAATGAAACAAGTGGCTAGAAGGTCACTTTAGGATCAAAAGTAGCAAAGAATATCTTAATAATGCCCAAGATGCACGATAGAGCTAGGGAACAGAGGCTGAAATCCTTTTTTCTGGTAGGGGAGGGGGGCAATGCCAACAAAAAAAGTAAATTTGCCGACCAATGACATCATTTACCGACAAAATCGACAATGTAGCAAAACATGGGGAGCGCTTGCCCCCCCCCCCCGCGCCTCCGCAATTTTTGCCACATCTAGAGAAAAATCATTTTTTATGCTTGCTAGCATGATCACTATTTTTGCAATCACCGTCATTTACTTTGATGGTGATTGCAATAATATCAGGTTTCTTTTACATCACAAGAAACATTATCTCTATTTTCACGATTTCTTCGTTGTTCTCTCAGTTAGAGGCGGATCCAGCGTAAGTTCCTTAGTGGACAACACTCAATCAGTTTTCCAACACGAAGCTAAAACCAATGTTTCAGATACTGCGGAGGACAACAGAACAATAGCTCAGCGACCCTCGCAGCATTCTAGCAGGTCATTAAATTAAAGCCCTGGTCAGACGATCCAGCCTGTCACCCAATATTTCGCCCAACATTTTTTTCATGTTGGATGTAATCCAACGCTGTTGGTCAAACGTTCCAACATTTCAGCCAACATTTCAAAACAATAGAATTGTTGGATGTCGGCTGCCATCAAATTTGGCAGAGATGTTCTATACTAAGTTGGAAATGACTAGAAAAAAAGCCCCATAAATTGGACATTGGGAATTCCTTATTTGGGCAAATACCATAATGGCGCACTGATAAGTAGTGGTTCAAAATTTTAATGTTGCTAAAACCACATAGTATGTACATCTTTTGAAAGATAATTTCATGCTGAATAACTTTTATTTAACATACGTACCCATAGAATATGCAAATTTAGTGGTGATAGGGCAGAAACAAAGTGGGACGAGTGAATATTGAAAACCAAGCCGAAAAAATGGCAGATCCTCTTGCTGAATATTTTCCATTTATATGGCAAATTCTATCGATGCAAAAACATTAAGTGTGTGAAAAAGATAAAGAATGATAATACCCACTCAGCCCGGGCTGATTTAAACCGGGCCCACTCAGCCCAGGTTGACTCAACCTGGGCCCACTCAGCCCGGGCTGACTAACCCGAGCCAACTCAGCCCGGGCTGACTAACCCGAGCCAACTCAGCCCGGGCTGACTCAACCCGAGCCCACTCAGCCCGGGCTGACTCAACCAGGGCCCACTCAGCCTGGGCTGACTCAACCCGGGCCCACTCAGCCTGGGCTGACTCAACACGGGCCCACTCAACCTGGGCTGACTCAACCCGGGCCCACTCAGCCCGGGCTGACTCAGCCCGGGCCCACTCAGCCCGGGCTGACTCCAGTGAAATTTTTTCACTGCAGCAGCAAATTCCGGTCAAATCTAAAGAAATATCTAAATATTAAAAACAAAGTAACTCGCGACCGAACTGTCCAAACAACATGATTCGTTCATTATAAACTAATTTAAAGAGGAAGATTTCAATTCTGATAGTTTTTCAACCTTTTTTCATTGACAACCTCCATCTTTGTTCCTAAGACGTAATTTTTGTTACTAAGACACTGCACTGCCAAATTTACTAAATTAAAATTAAAAATTAAAAAACACTGCCAAATTCAGTGCAAATTCAAAGTGGCTGCACAAAACTACAGCTTGGTGTGGGGCCAGTAATATTCCCTTCATGACCTTCTTTACCAGAAAAAGAGATAACTTCCAAATTTCGTATAATCCCAAAAATTGAAAACTTTTCAATTGAGAAGTGCGCACGTGAAAAAGAGGGTGTTTTGAGAGTACCTAGGACCCAAAACCCGGTAAATAGTTATGAAAAACGGAAAACCCGGATAAATTTATATACCTCAACGTGGTTCACTTTTTCCCCTGTTCTGCATTAAAGACCTTCGTACCCGCAGTTATTACCAGCAAAAATATTTGTCTGCAAGGCACAGGGTAGATCCTTGCCTTTTTTCTCCAAATGAAGATGTCATCAGTGTTTGATGAAAAACATAATTTTAGGGAAATTTGTCGTAGATTGCAGAAATCTGGCAATTTCTCAACGGAACGAGGGAATTCTACACACTTGCCGGACGCAGATTTTCTCAAAATAATACACCGATGCAGAAATTTCAAAATGTTTAGCGGGATTCTTAACCTGCTCCTTGTTGGATAGGATTTCATCATCGCATGTCTTGATCTTGTTAATATATATGTTGTTCATAAATAAACTTATATACATTCAGAGGTGGCGTCAGAAATCTTCCGACAGAGGGGTTGGAGCTTCCAACAGGGGGCTAAATTGACTAAAATATGCAGTTTTTGTACGTTATTTTGTCAAATTTGCTCCGTCATTAACCTAAAGTTTTCCTCCGATAGGGGGGCTAGATGCTTCCTTTGGAGGGACTGTAGCGCCCTAGCCGTCCCTTGGCGCCACCACTGTATACATGCTATTGCCCAGTTGCCCCCTATCTGCTATTTTTGACCAGAAAGTACTTATTTCCACATTGTAAAGGCGTGTGTGTTGAATAAAAGTTGTTCAGCATGAAACTTTCTTTCATAACTACCTATAATGTGGTTTTAGCGACATCAAAATTTGAACCCCTGCTGATCAGTGCGCCGTATGGGATTTGCCCAAATAAGGAATTCCCAATGTCCAATTGATGGGGCTTTTTTCTGGTTATTCCCAGTGTCGTATGGAACCTATGTGCCAAATTACAGCTTTTTATTATTTTTGTCCGGGTAAAATCGTAATTCCACCACACTAATGATATTGAGAAGGGGTTGTAAAAGTTCTCAGAGGCACTGTTTTTGTTAAAAAGAGATCCAAAATCTAGATTTAGTGAGTGGAAAGTGCCCTCCCCCCCACTAAAATGCATAAATAAAAATGTTGCATTGGCCTAGAACTCAATCAGGCTTTTTGCTGGATCCGCCCCTGTCCCGGTGAAACGCACCCTCGTTCATATCCACTTTTCTATTTTCAAGATCACTCTCTCTAAACACAACTCTTACTATTTCCAGCTTCTGTGATTTATCTTAACACTTTACCACCCACAAATCGCATCATACAATTGTATAATTATCTACGCACAAATGTTGATATTTTGAATTAGTAGCTCTTTGGAAACCCTGCATACTGAGATGAAATATCATATATCATTGGCAATGAGGGCGTTTAAGCTTTCCATTATAAACTTTCACTCTTTGACTTTGTAAACAAATTTCCGGTCCTAATTAAATCCTTTTTTCTATATAAATAAATAATGCAAATTTTTTATTTTCGTCTCTTATACTCTTTTTATATTATTGATTTCTAATGTGCACAATTCTGTTTTCACTTTAATACCAATTTTTTTATCATTTTTAATCTTATAAACTGTAATCCAATATGGTTTTCAACAGCGCCACCATCTGCTCCAAATAACGTTAAGGCCACACAGATTGGATCAAAGTGGATATTACTAGAATGGATGGTCCCCATGGACCAAGGGACTGGAGGCAAACCGAGTTACACGATAAAAGCAAGCTGTGCTAGATGTAAAATACCACCTGACTTTACAACATCTAACCGTTTCTTCAATGTCACTGGGCTGAGCGCCTACACACGATATGACGTCAGAGTCTTTTCCATCAACAATGTCACTGCTGCCATCGGCTTCGACAAGGCTATGTACAACAGCACTTCAGTTTTGACTGGATTTGGATGTGAGTGAACGTTTGTCTCGAGTTACACTGTTTGCTCAATGATAATTTAAGGGACAGCATGTGATTGAAAACATTCTGTTTTTCCTGTTTGCAAGACTCTGTCCCCACATATCGCATACACATTTTTTACTTTAGTTATAGGAAGTATTATTAACTCCAACTTTGCAGCCAAGGGGACCACTTGATCATTGCTTAAGAAGTTATTGTCAGTGGATATTCAATTTAGGTTCCTTTTTTGAATAAACTTGTTTTTTGGGCTTTCTTTTTCAAAGGGACACTTTAATAGACAAAGTATCCTTATTTTTCTTATAACAGTGAGCATTTAAAGGATCTTGTGCAACTTGCATTCTTTGCGACTTTATTTTCAAAACCAGTCTAATATCGTATTGCATGAAAATACAAAACACAGTCAATGTCTGAAGATTGTTGCTATGCATGCCGGTTGTGCAAGAGTCTTTAACGGCGACAAATTGGAAATATGTACCTCTTGCAAGCTATTCGAAATTCTCTGCAAAGAAAAACATTATCCGGGGTTTCTTTTGAAGGCAATAATATTTTCATTATAACAGTATGCAACGAATTTGTAGGATTGATTTTGGTCATGTGTCCTGCAAGTTTCATTTTATGATACGAAAACTTAAACAAATTGTTTAATGATAGTAATGTTCGTGTATTGAAATTAGGAGCCTAAATGAGGAAGTTGAGCTTTGTAGCAAATCTTTTTTTGAGTTGATTTTACATTCGTTTACTTTGGGTAAATATCCTAATAGATTTCTTGTTGTTTATGTAGCACATCTCATTTTTAGTGCCTTCGGAGGTTCAGAATCTTGCCAAAAGGACAAACTCTGATGCATCAGTGACAATTTTCTGGAACGAGCCATTGACCAAGGGTGGTGATGATCTGCGATATTTTGTCACTGTTAATGATGAAAAAGGAATGTTTACCACCAAACTGAAATACACTGTTAAACAAGATCTAGAAACGAAGAAGTACACTGTGTCTGTAAGTATGAAGGTTTGATTCCCAAACTTTATATCAATGTCCAGACAATGTTTAACCCTTTCGACATCTCCTCAAAGTTGTTCTTAGAAGCATGCATGGAAGTGGGTAGAGCGGTAGTGATATTTTGAAAAATATAGTGACTTGTGGAAAGAATCGACGCTGAAATGCGTAGATGGCAGTAAGTATAAATTGCCTGCGCAGTAGAGAGAAACTGAAGTCATTTCATAATGCTCTGAGCAAAAATGGTCGAGTAATTGTGAGTGATCAGAGAATATAATTCGAGATATAAAAAGAGAAAATTAAAGAATAATAGATAAATAAAGAGGAAATAGAAATAAAGAGACAAGACAGAGAGAAGAAGCATTCAACTTGACACCGGCTTTTGAAACGAAATTGGTGGCGTTTAAGCAATGATTTTCTGTCATTTGGGCATGGTTTTTAAATACTAGAGCTAAAAATCGATTGTGAAGTGTCTGCAGGAATTAAGAGCATAGGCTTTTGTGCCTGCAAGCGTCACTCGCACCCTCTCGCAGGGTTACGAGGTCTGCTTAGAATATTAACTTTATGCAGGTGCCCGCGTATTGAACATTTTAATGATATTTTTATTTTCAAATTAGGTAAAGGCGCACACGAGCACTGGTTTTTCCAAAGGAGAAGTTATTAGATTTGAAATTAAAGGAAAAGGAAAGTATTAGCCAGTGGAAATCAAAATTGTTATCATTTACGAGTTATACTTCATGTTTCTCCGCAGGCTCTTTAGTTTTTCATATCATATTACCGTGACATATGAATTGTAAACTTAAATCGTACCTTATTGTTAACCAAGGTGGTGATGATAGATCAAGCTAATACACTCATTTTTTTATAAGAAACTGGGTATAAGAAACGAGTACTGGACAGTCTGAAAAAATTAAGAAACTTCAGTACTCGAAGCAAAAAAATTAAGAAACTAATAAAACATGATAAAACTGAGAACAACGAAATTTTGTAAAATCTAAGAACATGATTGCCCAAATGGCCTAGAAATTAAGACACAAGGGATAAAAATATACCTTCAACGTCTAAATACAGCGTCAGAACAGAAGCGAATCTCTTGACGTGATAAGAAAAGGTCATGAACATTTCATAACATCACTCATGACATCATAATTAAGAAACTCTTAAGAAACAATGAGTATTGAAATTTCCAGAACATTAAGAAACTGGAGTACTCAACATCGACTTTTGTTTCTTATAAAAAAATGAGTGTATGTTAAATAAAAGGCTTCCTTTTAGTCACTTTGAGTGATTTACTGTATAAATTATATGAAGAATTCTATTTACAGGTATTTCACTGACTTTGGTCATTGCTGTCGTAGTCACATTGTTTGTCTTACTCTTGATTGCTATCGCTCTCATCGTATACTTCTACCGAAGGTACGTCTCTTCTGCTACATCTTTTTTCATGCTTTCAAGATATTTTTCTCTGCAGGTTTGATTTAAATGACTTAATTCATGCTACGAATAGCTTCATACGATTTTCATAAATGCCCCCCCCCCCTTTTTAGCAATTTTCCTTCCATTTTTTCAAACATTTTTTATACAGAAGTTATCACATTTGCGTTATTTGTGTCCTTTTGCCATTTTCCCACCGAGTCACTCCTTTTAATTTCAACCTTCTCCTCTTGACTATACGTATAGATTTGCTCTTTATTTGAATTACTCTCAGCCACGTCAATGGCAAGGGGTGCTTGGTTGTCACACCAGTGAGAACAGAGCGGTCATAGTCATTATTCCATTAATCCATAATTCAATAATTCATAATTCATAACTTTTTTCCGTCAGGAAGTAATATTACATAACACCTATTCCAAGAATGTTTTCAATTAAGATAGGAAGTAGCAGAACTGTCTGACGTTTAGGTTCTGTCAGTAAAGCTAGGTTCTGGCCTGTTTTTCAGTCAGAAATCTAGCACCTTTTACCCCTCCCCTAAAATATCCGTCAATTCAGGTGTTATTTTCCTGTTTATCAAGGCGACATCCAAAGCATCTCCAAACTGTTCGACTTGAAAACGGGGAAGGTTCGTACACATTCGCTGTTAAATATTTCTTAAACATTTTCAATGTACCCAGCAATTCTTTCCCTAAATAGCTAATTTGTTGATCATAAGTAGAAGTTTTGATAAATGTTTGTATATCATTTTCTTTCCCTAACAGTTAGTGTTTCCCATAATATTTCAGGCTTTTGTTTCTATTAATCGTTTCATTTTGACTTTTGATGTCAACCAATTACGATTTCAATTATTGTAGACTCAGGCAGGCAAACTCGACCTGGAAGTTTTAAGTATTACCGAACCTATCATCAATTTTTTTTACCGGCCATCAATTTTCTCTAGAACTAGCACCGATAGGTTGAGTTATCATCATCATCATGATCATTATCATTAGCAACCCTTTTCGATGTTAGCTAGACAGTAGTTGTGCAAATAATTTACGCTTAGATGAAGCATCTAAGAGATTGCATCATGGACAGAACTGACTACTGTTAGTACATGCTGTGAAGCAGAATTTTTTGCCAGAGAACCAACTTCCGTTAAGAATTTCGAATTCATTTATATTTATGGACGATTTGCTTCAATTTTAAAATGAATTCGAGATCTTTGGACCTAAGTCTTAATAGCGTGACTGGTAATTTCCACATTTGGAATTCAAAATATTTGTTCATACATAGGTTCTTGCATGTGCTTTTCGAGAGAAAAATATCTTTCAGAAATGTTGTGTTCAAATTATGCAAAGTTTTAAATACCTTAAGAGCTAAAAGCTTGGTTGACCTGATCCTAAGTTTCTCTTACCTTGTTCAGTGATTCTACCAAGTGGGAAAGGCGTTCAGAATTTCGTTAATCTGACCTATCAAGATTTGGAGGACGTTGTGCAACAGTTTGCTAACGAATTGGACCGCGGCTGGATAAAGCTAGAGCGTTTGATTGGTGGAGGTGAGTTGGTTCAAAGTTAGGTTAAGAGCATGGTTCTTCCTATAGTTTGAAAGTTTTGAAACGTTTTATCATGGTGGTAGATTCTTACAACTGCTATTTGCATTCGCGAATCGAGCTACATTTTTGTTTGTTTACGTCACAAGGGCTAAATGTTTAAATTTCCTTTTTTAAACAATTACATCAAAACTGTTCAGGTGACAGACAAGTGCGTCTGTGACAGGTGCAAACATTATTCTGCACTTCTTTTATTATCTACCCAAATTACTGCTATCTTCCTCGGCTCTGTCTTCTTTGATTCATCACTAACAATTTTCTACTTTAATTTTTACACATGACACCGTCTTCTGTTGAAGATACCAGTGCTGCTCAACTTTCAGGAAATGAATCTTCACCCTGTATACACTTCATAATGTAGACTAATGAGAATATTCTGCAATTAAAAATTATTCTCAGGTGAATTTGGTGATGTGTACATAGGAACTATGGAAAAACCTTCCGAAAAAGCACAAATTGTCGCCGTCAAGACACTCAAGGTATACGTTTGTGATCTTTCGTAGACAAACAGGATAGATGTTCTTCGTAAGACCTGGGATTCTAATGAAGCCGCGAAATCAAATCAGTTCTAATGTAGGTTCTGAATACACTTACACTCCTCTTCCCAAAGTATTTGAATGGTTAGGCAAAACTGATGGCCTAACTCTTACTTGCGACATGTAAGTGACAAAGTATTATTGATTCACTAAAGTGAGAGGAAAATAAAGAAATAGCGTTAGGAAAAAAAGAGATAAAATAGCAAACACATCACAGACAGACAGGTCTTTCATATTATGATGTTGCAAAGGATGTAGGCTGCACAAAGTATGCTTCTTGAAAAGATTGAGAAATTGCAGGTCAACAAAATTTCTGAAATGGGCAAAAACATTGTTGCAGGTGGAGGTTTTGTTATTCGGGGTTGTTCTGTAAACACCGCATATTATGTTGCTATCTTCCAAGAAAATCTTTCCAAAGCGCCAGAAATATTTATGGATCATTTTCTCAGTGAAAACAGCCAACTTTTCATCTTTCTGTGAGTTTTCTTCATGTGATGATTGCGTCAAGAACTGTGGCAAGGAAATCACAAACAACAGTGAAATCGGAAACGTTGTGAATGACCACTCTCGTACAATAGGTACCGATTTTGCTAGAAATATTGAAGAGACTGTTAAACCATTATTATCAGGAAAATTTCAGATAAAAAGCCCGACTCCAAAATTTAGATTTAAATCCTTACTGGCCGTGACATAAGGGAAGTCATTACCAAAGCAGCCAGTTCAAAGAGCGTTGGAACTGACACTGTTTCAAGTTGTCTAGGAACTGGCCTTGCCATTCTTGGGGAATTTCTCCTTTGATACAAGCATTTTTCCTGATTTATGAAAAATTGCTAGGGCTGCACCCATTTACAAAGATGGTGATGAAAGCAAAAAATCAAAATATCGTCCAATATCGGTTCCGCAATCATTTCCAGGCTCTTCGAAAGTCTGTAACCAATTGTACAAACATTTGGAATTGAATGACCTGCTTGCAAATCCACAATCTGGTTTTCGTGCCTTGCACTCTACCGTAATCTGTCTATTAAAAACACTGATGACTGGTACAGCGGTTTGGACAATAGACAGCTCATTGGTTTGGTACTACTGATCGACTTTAGAAAGGCATTTGACACTGTAGACCATAGTATTCTATGTCACAAATTAGAGCACTTTGGTCTCCAAAAAACGCTGTTATCATTTTTAAAATCTTGCTTTTCAATTTGCAAACAGTGCTTAAGTATAAATGGAATTGTATCTGAACAAATGGACAATAATATTGGAGTACCCCAGGGGTCATGTTTAGGGCCATTGCTATTTCTTCTCTTTATTTACCATCTACCACTAGCTGGCGAAAACTCCATGGTAGCAGTATACACTGATGATACTAGTCTCTCTTATCGATCTGATAACATTAAACAGCTAAATGAGGCAATGAATAAGGACGTTACTAGAGTCTTGAAATGGTTGAAGGATTGTCACTAAATGTTGCTAAAACAAAAGCAATGGCTACTCCAGCGAAACAAAAGGAAATGCAGGTAGCTAATAATAATAAAGCATTAACTTTAAACAGACAAGAAGAACGAATATATAGTGCCCAAACTGCCAAAAATCTTGGAATACAATTAGACAAAAACCTTAACGGAAAGGTCACATCAGATCTCTATCAACAAAATCAGTTGAGCAATTGGCTTTCTTAAACATGCCAAAGAATTTTTAACACAGAAAACTCCCAAGACATTTTATGCTTTATACTGGTACTGTAGAGCCCTAATTAAGATACTGTTACTTAGTTCTGGGAAACTGTGCTGCAACCGAAAAAAACATTTGCAAAAACTTGAAATCGAACAGCAAGAATAATCACAAATAGCCTAATGCTAGACCACTGTTAAATGCTCTTGGACTCGAACCACAGGTTTAGATCAATACTGAATCTAACAATATGGTTATCAGACATAAGGGGCCCTACGGAGCCCTAATTAAGATAATGTTGCTTAGTTTGAGGAAACTGTGCTGCAACCGAAAAGAACCATTAGGAAAAACTTCAAAACCGAGCAAGAAGATTAATTACAAATAGCCGTTTTGATTCTGATACTAGACCACTTTTAAATACTCTTGGACTTAAACCACTTCAGGGTTAGATCAATACTGAAGCTAACACCATGGTTATCGGACATAAGGGTCCTACGAAGCTAGCGCCAGAATGTTTATCGGACTTATTTATAAGAAATTCAGGAAGTCATTTGCGGGCTCTTTGCAAAAACAATAAAGATGCTTATCTTGGGCAAAAATACTCATCTTTTAGAAACGTACAGGCATGGAATGCTCTTCCAGTAGACAGGCATCTTTCTTTCATGTCTTCAGAGCCAAAATTAGATAAAACCTATTTAACTTTATATCGATGTATATATTGTAAATTTATTTTGTATATATGTTATATATTTTATATAATGTATATATATTATATTATATGTTTAAGTAATATTATGAGTTAGCTTTGTTTTTATTTGCAAAATTGTTAATTAAATGGAGGGCTCGTTGTAAAACAAGAATTTGCTGAAGGGCTACTTTTCTTAAATTATTTGAAAAGGAAAATGAAAGAACAATTGTTTTCTCCCTTTTTTGTAGTCAAATGTAAATAAAAAAGCTAGAGATGACTTTATGGGAGAGGCAGCATATATGGGACAATTTGATGACCCAAATGTCATACATCTCGAGGGTGTGGTCGTTAAAGGTATACACACATTTTTTTATAAGAATGCCTAATTTTTTGCCAAGCCTCATTATTCTTAAAAATTTTCGATTTTGTGCCCAAGATTATTCTTAAATTATTTTTGTCCAACACAAGTTGTAAATTCGCCTCAAGATCAAAGAAAAATATTAAATCTTTTTTATGTGTTGCTTCATTATAAATGTGAAAGTGACAGTTGTTTTGCTTTGGAAGAAAACTCAGATTAAGGTAAAGATTTAGTCCTGATGAAGGTTGAGCCTGGCATTATTCTTAAATTATTCTTAAGTTTTAGCAATTTGAAGCCTCAATATTCTTATAGACTTTATTCTTATAAAAAAGTGTGTATAATTTATTGCGTTGAAGAAATACCTTTTCCAGATCTTCTGATAGATTTGCAAATTTCTTCGTTTGTGAGCATGCAACTCAATGCCTACCCAGTCTACCCATGTGCAATCTACCTTGTAACAACTTGGCTTGCATATAAGTACTTCTCGATATTTATGATCCGAAGCATTTCCTGTCTCGTTACAGAAAGCATAAATTACGTGGTCTTCAAGTTTGTCTGCCAATGCTTATAAACTATTTACTTTTTTTTAGACCTTCCCATATTGATTGTCATGGAATTCATGAGCAATGGATCGCTTCAATCCTTTCTACAAGTATGCTAACTAAATTTCAATTTACTCCCTCAAACTTTTGCAACTTGTTCAATTAGGTATGAGTATATAGTTAATCTAATCTTTATATTGAAATCACCTTTATGAATCAATCTCAATTAAGCAAAAATAATACTTTAAACTAGCTGCTTTCATAACTAAAGCCAATTGAATGTCCCATCTTGGATCAGTTTATAAGCAGTTGAAAAGTTTAGAATCCTTTGTTATGTACTGTTGTTTTGATATAGCTGTTAGAATCCAGTTCCCTTGTCATTACTAATGAAGGGGCTGGGTACTCCTTATATTGTTTTAGTAAGAAAACGTGTGATACAGTAGTAGGCGTGCTCGCAGAAAAACAGAGTGAAAGCAGCCCGCCAGTGCTTTTAAGGCATCTGAAGAAGCGTTGTATGCCGGGTCGAAATTTTAGTCAATTTTAACTTGTATAGAAAATATTCTACTTATGTTTCATTGCTATTTGTTCTTCTTTGGCTTATTGAGTCTCTCAATCTGAAGAAGTGTAACAGAACCTTTTATATCTCCACAGAAAAACGATGATAAATTTACTCCACTCCAGTTACTAGGAATGGCCCGGGGTGTGGCATCTGGAATGACGTATCTGTCTGAAAAGAGCTACATCCATAGGGTAGGTGTTGGTTTTATCGTCAATCAAAGCTTTAGTAACCGTCTACCTTGTATTGCCTGTACAAAATTGAGATTCAGCAAAATTTTCTTTCGAATATTCTCATTAGAATAATGTAGAAGGGGATCCGGACTAGGTTCGTTTTCCATTGGTTCTGTTTCCAAAGAATGCCAGTTTTCTATTGAGAAATGATTAGATTTGACGACTGGCAAATATATTATGATAATAGCAATTGCAATTGGATAGAATACACTCAATTTTATATGCAGTCATCGGGAAAAATAATACTTTTTCAAATATGCGCACACTGTTTTTAAAATTTGACAGTTAGCGCATAATAGCAGTCCTTAAGTATTGTCACGTTTACAAACTGTACTCCTAATTTAACTTATGTTATTATTTCAGGATTTGGCAGCCAGGAATATTTTAGTAAATGATGACATGGTTTGCAAGGTTGCTGATTTTGGAATGAGCAGAGAATTGAGCAAGGATGATACATATGACACAACGGTAATTGAATGTTTCATTCACTGATTTATATCCTATTGGCAGATGACAAACAAATATCTTTGAATTATACTAAATTCATGTCAGATCACCTTATCATATTTGCTGTTCCTTTTTTAGATGTCATACTGGAGCAGAATAATCATCTTTAGTTCTATGTAAAGGGTAATCTCGTGCAAGCACTGGGATTTTTTACCCATCTTGCTGCCCAGAATCAAAAAATTTGCTGAGCGTATATTTGTTAAAGAGAATCTTCCTCCTTCATCGATCATTACTTTGTTTTCGTGGCAGATACACAGTAGTATTGAAAATCTTCTGAAACTGGAACTAAAATTTCTTAACTGTAAGCAATTTGCTGTTGCTTATCGGGCTACAGCCAAGAAACTACAATCCCGGACAAAATTGATTGAGACTTTGCAAGGAATGCTTATATTTTCACTGTTCTTTCAAAAATAACTTTTCCCCTCCCCCAATTCAATTTTGAGTGCATGATTGTGAAGCAAAAAATGATAGAACTATAAATCCAACATTGCTTTGGGGGGAAAGGGGTGATTCGAATTTACAGGGGCAAGGTAAAGTGACAATTTCGAAAATTGCATTTTGTCTCAACATTTTTGTCCGGAATTGTAGGTCTATGGCTATGCATGGCTGTTGTTGTCAGCTTCCATTAATCATGTGACTAACCTTTGCAACCCAAACCTGTCTAAATACAATTTCGCTATAGATCTAAGCTCAGGGCCCACGCCACAGGGGGAGGCAGGGGGCAATGCCCCCCCATTTTTATTTGCTAACTATAGGTATCAAATCCTCCTATTGGGTAGTAAATAGGTATAAAATCCTCCTTTTGTGGCTCCCCATTTTAGAATCGGTGGCGCAGGCCCTAAAGCTGGTAAATGAAATCATTGTTGATATACTTCAACTTAATTATTTTTTACAGGGTGGTAAGATCCCTGTCAAATGGACAGCACCGGAAGCAGTCCAACTAAAGAAATTCACTATTGCTTCGGATGTTTGGAGTTATGGTATCCTGCTTTGGGAGGTAATGTGTTACGGAGAAAGGCCATATTGGAACTGGGGCAATAATGAGGTATATTCGTTAGGGAAATTCACTTTATACTTTTCCATCGTTAGGGAAATGCTTGTAACGATAGTGATGAAAATTGGGCAATGCGATGACTTTTAAGTCGCTATTCTAAACCTGAATAATGGAAGTTAGGGTCCTTTCGTTATTTCCTTACTTGATCACCAACATCTTAAGCTTTTAAACTCTTTAAATCCATTTTCTATAATACTGAGGAATATTGTTTCTGTCGACAATTTTCAAAGATTTTGGCAACAATGTTATGTTTTTCTTTAAAGATGAATAAAACAGAAGATGTTTTTTAAAGAATTCGCTTAAATTCCCTGGAAAATATCCGTCAATAAAATGAACTTTTGTGAATACAAATGAGGAAAAGACCAGTACGAATTTTAGCAATTGAAAAACAGACGTTAATTAAACTGTTGGAAAAAAACTTATGGTTAAGTAGGATACTTTAAAAAGGCCTAAAAACGAAGAATATGTGTATACTAAAGGAAGCAAGAATATTTAATTTTTTTATGCGACTGTTGGTGCATTCTTTTCTGACCTGACACGTGTAGCAATCAATCTGAACCTTGGCTGTTTTTCTAGGTGCTTGAACGTCTGGCTTCTGGCTTCAGACTTCCTCCGCCAATGGTATGTTTTAGGTTTAAAAGTCTCTAGATCTTGTAGATTTTTACTACATACTTTTCTTTGATCAATTACACAAGATATGACAAATATGCCATGCTCTGTTCTTTTCATATCGAGGCTACACCTAGCTTAAACATTGTCTGTTCCTTGTTTTTTTCGTTGCTTATGTTTGTGAGCTTTATCTGCTTTAAACCCTAGAATCTATATCGGGGTACTACAATGCCGACGTAAAAGCAGTTGATTTTTCCTGGTCCATAGACTTTCTTGCAGCAGCATTTTTGATCTAAAGATTTTTCGACAACGGCAAAATCTGCAGGCCTACTGATGGCCTACTGATGGCCTACTATTCTACAGACATTTTTCTTCTTCCATCGCAGAAGGGTTAAAAAACAGTTACAAAGCTGTTGGCAATGATTGATGTAACTTGCTTTATTGGGCTACATATTTTAATTGGAAAAATAAATTAACTTGCTGATAATGCATCCAAACCCTAGATTCCTGAAAATACATGCATCCGTACAAATAATTTTGTTTTTTCTTCATACCTTCTCATCATGTGCAATGAACTTTCATTTGTTATCCAAATCACAGATATTAAGTAGTTCTCCCATTCTGGTAATGGTATATTTGCGAATGCAACACTACCTTTAGATACAGCTCGTTTGCCTATTTACTGTCCTGTGTACCGTAACATTACTCACGGTGATTCTCCCAAGTATGCTTGATCACGGTGCAGTAAAAAGATTTTGTCCTTGTCCTTTTTAATACTCAAAAGAATATAAAAACCTGTTTAGCCAAACAGTTTCCAACAGGTTCTTATATGTGGGGGTTTCACCATTTAATTTATATACTTTTTTACCAAAAATTTAAAAGATGACAGAAAATTGAATTGTTAGAACAATACTCAAAAAGCACAATGTATTTTAAGTTTGGACTGTTATTTTGAATGAATTCTTGCTACTTCGGCAAATTCTCTTTCAATCTCGTCCCCGGAGGGTGGGGGGGGGGGTTGGGAGGGCTTGGGGCTTTTTGACTTTCAGCACTTTTAAGGTACACTAATAGATATTTGGAATAGATAAAAGACCAGATTTAATGCTGTTTTCTGATAATCAACAGCAATATCTACTTTTTAGAAATTAAGAACCTAGCTAAGAACCAATTTAGGCTAAACTGTCAATACGTAATCCTTGAAACAACAACCTGTTTCTCCCGACTCTGAAAAAAGTAGGTTTTTTCTTTATCATACAGTACACTCAATTTTATAAGAACAATTTTATGAGAACACGAGCCTCAAAATTGGTCAAAGGCTAAGAACAAATTTAGAACAAGCAGAGGCTGGGCTTCTGCAAAATGCAATTCTTAACAACGTTTTATCTAAAAAAAACGAGGATGTGTGGATTCTTTTTCGTTGAAAACTTAAATTTGCCGGAAAAATAAAGTCTGTAGCAAATAAGAGAAACCGCAATGCGACGAGAATGAACAACAATAAATACACATTAATTATTGAAGGCTAATATTTCTTCCACTTTTGCTCTGATGAAGCTCCGTATGCCGGGACGAAATATTAGCCTTCACTAATTTACGTGTATTTATTGTTGCTCATTCTCGTCACATTGCCGTGTTTCTTATTTGTTACATTTTCATCGATTTTTCGCCGCAAAACCTCCTTGGAGTCCGTTGAGCAGACTGCCATCGTGACGTTTTCTTTATTCACACAAATGAAGGTTATCTCACTCACTTAGTTGGCAAATGAGGCAAATGAGGCCTGAACACCTTTCTGGAGCGAAAAGCTAGCAATCGCACTGCTTATATACCCTATAGATTTAAGAGCAAATTAAGAACAATCTAGCCTAAGATTTTCGAAAAAATCAAGAACAACCAGCCTGAAATCAAATTTACTGGTTCTTATAAAAAAAGAGTGTAGCTTGGTTCACGACGTCCCCTTTTTCTTCCCGCTGTTTGTACCCTTTAAAATGCTTTACTCTCGTCTTGCTTTCAAACTATCTTTTTTTCAAAACGATAATCTTGTTCTCAACTCCCTCTGTAATCACAAAATATACCTGTTCTCACCTCTCACCTTCCACTTTTCTCAGCCCCTTCTTACTTACAAATCCTTACATTTCCCTCAGACCTCTTTTCTATGCCTTCCTCCTTTCTCTTGCCATGGCTCAGAACTTACATAACCAAAAAAATTTCTGTTTGCTGTTTTGTGTTCATCAACGCAACTATTGATGTTTTTACACAAGTGGGTACTCAAAAAGCAGCTGTTTATGATTGAAAATCTCTTGCAGAGCTGCCCTAAAGTTGTACATGATCTCATGTTATCTTGCTGGCACAAAGATCGCGTGAAAAGACCCAAATTTAAGGACATTCGTGGCACGATTGATAAATGGATACGGAGTCCGGAATTGCTGAAACACGAAGAATCGGTTGTGATACATCGGTATGTTTCAAAGTATCTCTTTTCAATATCCAACAAAGCTATTATCTTTAATTATATCTTTTATTATATTTATATAAGTATCCTTTATTCAGGCATAAAATAAGCGTAACATTCTCGTTCGGACAATGAGCAGAAAAGTCAATTTTTTAAAGACGCCGTTGGTTTTTTGAAGTTTATTATCGTCTACTGGAAAGACTTTTCCTTAATCAAAGACCGACAGCAAAAGAGAAGATTTTCTATTTTTTACCTAATTTCTAATGGAAATTAACTTATGGTATTGGCTAAACAAGTCATTATCTTGTTGTCTCTGAAGAGGGAAGGGGGGGGGGGGGGATACCAGTGACAGCCATACGTGAAAATTGGTCTGTTTTCTACTTTCAAGCATAGGGGATATTATATGTGATATTTAGGAGAATAAGGGGACTAGGGCCAACATTTTTTCCGAAAGAGCGGTTAAGTTGGTATTTGCATCGCTTCGATAGGCCCCACTTTTGACGATATGCGCCCCTTCCCTCCTTTTTTATGTTGTACCAAATGTTAGAGTAAATGTATTGGATATCCAAAAACTCTTTGTGCTATTTGCCTAAAATATGATAAAAATGAAGTCCAAAGTATGATAGTTTTGTTGAAAAATGAATAGTATGTTTACTTAAAAATATGAGCTTGAAATTAATCTATAATACCACAAATGATGTTGGGAATGTAAATAAAGGAACTTTTTGCATATCTAGGTCACAGCTTTCTTAAAAAATGACTAGTATGATTTTCTTAACGCATTAGCTTAAAATTCATCCAAAACATCTCAAGATATGTTTCAAGGAAGGAGATATTTCTCAAAAATTGATAATTGTTTACCTTTTTAGCATATCCAGGGCCACAGTTTTTTAAAAAATGACTTTTTTACTGACAATGCAAGCTGAAAATTTATCAACATCACTTCAAATAATGTTGCAAATATAAGTTAGGACATTTTTGCTGGCTTAGAAAAGTAATTTTAGTTGACTGTGACCAGTTGTTTTTTGTGACTTTTTCAAGGGCTTTTTGTCCTGGAATTTTGCAAATTTTATTTGAATTTTTTCTTTCAGATCTGACTTCTAATGTCATGGAAGTATCTTGAAGTGACAATGAAAATGTATTTTATGGCATTTAAAATTTTTTAAAACTTGTTCAACATTAGTTGATGATTTCTAGTTTTTTTGCATATCTGGGGTAAAGGTTTTTTTAAAAAAATCACTAGTATTTCTGTTTCAGAATGTCTTCTCGAAATTCATCCAAAACTTGTAAAATTATGATGGAAACGTATATTAAGGCATTTCAGGTTGTTTGGAACAAAGTGGTTTCCCGAAAATTAACAACGTTTGAATTTTTTGCATATCCTGGGTCCAACCTTTTAGTAGAAACAACTAGGATGGTTATATTGACATATGAGCTTGACTTCCATCCAAAACACTTTAGCTTGTTTCGAGGACAACAAACTGTTTTTTCAGAAAAATAAATCTGTTTAGCTTTTTCCTATTCAAGGTCAGAGATTTCTTGAAAGTGACTTGTCCTATCTTAATATTTATCTTATCAGGGCCCACGCCACCGGGGGGGGGGGGGGGGGCGAGGTTGGAGGGGCCATGCCTCCCACACTTTATTTCGAAGCAAGTAGTTTTAAGCTGCAGTAAAAAAGCAAAAAGCCTTATCTCAAAATTTTAGCCTTCGAATTCATCCAAAACGCGTCATATAGTGTTTGGAAAATTGAAAGCGCGTCATATCCGGGCTCACAATGTTTTTTAACAAATTAATTCCCAAAGCATGATTAAAATGATTAAAAAATCAACCTAAAGCACTTCAAATGATGTTTGAAACGACAATTAAGGCTTGGAGGAAAACAATTTTCTGAAAAATGACAAGTGTCGTTATATTCAAATATTATTTGAAGGTGGAAGTTTATCTTAAAGGTAGAAATTTATCTTAAAGGCAGAAATTTATCAAAACGACAGCAAATGATGTTATGAACGTAATTTAAGACATTTTTCATTGTTTTGACCTTTTCTTTTACTTGAAAATTTTTTAATCTTTTATAGTTTTAAAGTTTTGATAATTTTGAAAAGTGATCATCGAGATTTGTTATAAGGACCAGGGTTTAAGGTCATGGGAATTGATGGTTCTTATATTTCTTGCACCATTGCAGATTTGATGTTCCAGTACACAATTTTTTTCTAAGAATAAAGTCTATAAGAATATTGAGGCTCAAAATTGCTAGAACTTTGTGAAATAATCTAAGAACAATGCCAGGCTCAACCTTCATCAAGACTATTTCACCTTAATCTGAGTTTTCTCCCATAGCAAAACAACTTTCACTTTCTTTTTTTTAATGAAGCAACACATCAAAAAAGATTTAAAAATTTTCTTTGATCTGAAGGCGTATTTACAACTTGTGTTGAGCAAGAATAATTTGAGAATAATCTTAGGTACACAATCGAAATTTTTAAAGAATATTGAGGCCTGGCAAAAAATTAGGTATTCTCATAAAAAAAAGTATGTGATGTGTGAGCGGCTGCGGGTTTATGGAACTTTATTTATAGAATAGTATTTGTGATATTTTCTTTAAATTTAAATATCACTTTTAAACAAATTCAACTGTTATTTACTGTTGGCATGGCTGATGGGTTACCAATGCATCGCCCAACGTGCCCTGCAAACGATGGTATCGAGGACTCAGAAAACTTTTTGCCGATCTCCTTTGCTGGAATCTTTGATTTATTGCAAAATTTGAATATACAAATCTTCCCAGCAACGATCTACTGCAGATTTGTTGTACGGTGATAAAAAACTTTCCAAATGAATTTAATAGACATATATTTTTCCTCACTATCCAAAACTGACCGATTTGATTTAACCAATTTCGATGTAGACCACCCAACGCAGCCATTTGGTCCTATTTAAAGTAAAGACCCGTTTGGCCCATTCTGTATTGTTTTAACTTTTTATTTAAGCTTTTGTAATGGCCCCGCGGTAGTCACACCCATTTGCTTTCTGGGGTATGGTTCCCTGTATTGTAGTAAAGTATTTTTTGGTAGTAGTGTAGCCTGTATGTAGTATGCATTGTAACTTGTTAGTGGAATGTTGAAAAATGCGTCTTCAATGCTTCCAGCCCTCATTTTGACATGTTTTCCATTTAGACTACAAAGACAACTCCGTCTTATTTTGTTTATAATGTAAGAGGATTGCCATGCAAAAGAAGTTAATCGATAAACTGAACACGCTAACGTTACATAGAGTGACTTTGGCATTTTCTTGTTTTTAGAAGAAAATTTTTGTTTCCGTTTGTTCTTTAAATTTGAAAATCCTGATTTCAAAGATACTGATTTTGTCATGAAATTCAGTATTTTTAAAGAATTAATGAGAATCGCCGACAAACCAATTTAAGAAAACGTGAAAAAGGAAATTCCTTGAGTTTGCTCTCTTTTCGCTAGTTCTCAACCTTTTTTATAATTGAAATGCCTTTATAGCTTTGCTCACTTTTTTCATTAAAACTTATAATATATAAGTACAAAAAGATATAACAAAATAATTCACTCTCCAGAAACATCTCTACAATAAATTTGAACGAAAAGTGTAATAGTAAAATTTGACACTACTTTATCAAAATTACATTAGCTGGTGGGCGCATTAAGAGACCTCTGAAAACTTTCATCTTTAACAAAAAATATACAGATGCTGATTTAAGAGGTTAAAAAATACAGTATTAAGCTAAGAGGTAACCCACATTTGTAATTTATAAGCTAGATATTTTTTCAGATCTGTTTACATCTTGCAAAAATGATGACCATGTCTCTTATCTGATTTTCATAACAGGTTTTAATCTCATGGCAGCAAATTTAAGGGAGGGGTGGGGTGACCAACATTCTAAATGCCAAAAGAAATGTAATTCATTAAAGGGTTTGAAGTACATTTTACTGTTTCCACAGGAGGGGGCGTCCTAAGACGTTGGAAGGGAGGCTGTTCTGTATAGGCCACGCCCAAAACCACACGCACGCTCATTCCCAAGATAGTTGCGTTTGTGTTAGAGATTTTCCGTTAACTGACTTAGAACTACAGATAGGAAATTGCCTATTCACGGAAAGTCGAGAGCATAGTCAAAATTGCCAAGTAACGAATTCCTCCATCTAGATAAAACTGGTTTGTAGAGAGAGGGCTGAGCCTCCAGAGTCCCCCTTCACGGCACCCCTGCTTTTTCTGTAGAATCTTTCTATGAGCACAAGCTAACCTATTGTTAACATGATGCTTATTGGACTTTTCTTTCTTAGTTAGATACGTCAGCCCGTATAATGGATAGGTTAGTGATATATTGCAGATTTTGCTAAAAATATTATTCATGCTTCCTGTTGTTCGGTATCGGTTCAAAATAAAAAGAATTTTGTACTAAATGTCATATTTTTCACTTGCCATATCTGAATTAGCTGATTTTCGCCATTTGTTAGTATGATAATACTATTACATTTTAATGTTTGTATCAAAACAAGTGGAAATTAATATCATACTACTCGGTGATTCGGTTGTGTTCTTTCTGGCTACATTCTTTTCCTTCTGTAAGAATATTGTTTATAAGAATATTAGGGTCCAGAATCATCCAATTTTTTAGAATATCATAAAAATATTGCTCTATCTCGGCTCCAAAAGAATACATTCAGGCTAAGAATGAACATTTCTTAAGATTATCGAGGCTAGAAAGATTTTAAAATATTCTTATGAAAAATATGTGTATACACATTTATTTTACAAGCACACTTGTTTATGAAAATTGTTTTATGGATGACTTAATCACCTAGAATTTATGGATGAAGCAACTCATATATATAGGAAGTGCTATCATTAAAATTGCATAAGCTTAATTCCTACCGTCCATTATCATAGACTTACTTCTGAACCAATTTCGAAAGTTTTAAAATGCATGATATGGATAAATTTATACACCGCAATTCAATTACACGGAAATGCTTATTTTAGAATCACCAATGTTGTGCTACTTGATGTGATTTTCACGAATCCCGCAACAAAGTTTCACGAGGAAGTGGAAATGAAATGACTGCTCAATAGTGTCGAGAAGCGGGCGTGTGTTGCAAATGTGATAGCTTTCAATAATAAAACTTCATGGATTTATGTGTATTTAGTATTGTCGAAAAACAAGAGGTTTACCGTTTGTGGCTTGGTTGACCGTTATTCAAACTTTACTGTTATTGTTTCTCTGCATACTAGTCTATCACTGCGGCCTAAATTGAGAATCTGCTCATCGATTGTTTACAGCACACGAATCATTGACTGATTGTTACGAGCAGGCCATTTATTTTGGTGCTGACTTTTTCGTTCAACATCTTCACAGCTGGGTTCACAAAAAAGGCTGGTGTGAATGGAAGTTAAGTATTTATCTTGGACCAACTCGAGATTATGTAGAATTATTCGTTAGCTTGCCAATATTTGTGGCGTCGTAGTAACTGTCTACCATGGGCATAAAATGGAACTGGCATCCCATTTTGGGCCTAATTCTGTTAACCTTGAGCTGTATTGTTACCAAAGGAATAGAAGGTGAGCAGTGACTGTGTTGTTGCAAAAGACAACACTGCTTTTATTGCAAATGTTTTATTTATTTGGTTTATATGACAAGGTAATGTCTTTATAAAGAATTTGGAAATCTTTCTAGTCTGTTTGTATCAAGTTGCTCCATTTATGAAGAAAACTACAAATATGTTTCGCTTCAAATGTTAGTGTTGATAAGAACTTTCTGTACATCATCTTTTGATCTCAGTATAAAATTTCTTCTATAAATACTTATTATTGCTGAAAGATTTAAAAGATTAATCATTGTTATTTAAAACCCTCTTCTGGAAGATGAAAATGCTTTAAATTGATTTTCCCACTTCAATGTAATTAATACCTGTTTATTTACATCAGCATTCCTGTTTGTTGTCTTATTTTTATGTGAATTATATCATCCCAAAAGTTACAATTAAATTGATAAACTCCCAACTTTACTGAAACAGCCTTCTTTTAAAGTAAAAATTAGAATTGGAACCTGAATTAAATATTGAATGATTAAGTAACTAGGTTTGCATTTCATGTTATGCCCAGTAATTGCCTTAAATGTTTTGCAATTTTTTATAGAAAATTTTACATGCTCAGAGCATTAAAAAATTAATTGTTCAGGTCTAAGAAAAAAAGAAAGATAGAATTGGTACCAATTATTTAAAAAATGTCTGAGTTTCACTTTGAGCTTGTGTATCAGTGACATAATATTGTATTTTTCTATCATCATGATTTATGCTTTTTATTTATAGACTGTCATTTCTTTTCAGTTCCTGTTTTATTGCCTGAGTTTGAACATTGGAGGATAGTCAAAAATGGCACTGATGCTTCAGTTCGCAATATTGTAAGTTTAAACAAATCACCATGAAATCTACACTTGAATATTTCAGGACGTGTGGAAATTGTAATGGTAGCTTTCCTTATAAACTCTACCATTGGTCTGATCATAGAATAAGAATAACCAGAAGGGTCACTTTAGGCTGTTACTATAAGAATGCCACGGAGAGTATCTTGAAAGATAAAACTACGGTTGAGCAAACATAACAAAACAACTTATACGATAAGGATATATAATACTAGGCCACATTATGTACTCCAGGCCTGGCCGTTTGTATTTTTATAGGTGAGCTGTGAATCGCTCCCCTCATTTGCTGAGGCGAGCTAAATCAGTAACACATATAATGTACTTTAAAGACAATCGACAGATGACTTAATAAGCCCCTTTAGTATCTGTCGGTTGCCTTAATGTAATTGCCTCAGTCAGTAGTGTTATGTTTTACTTCTTCCAATTTGTATTTGCTTTAACCGTGACTTAGGCACCCCCTTTACTTGAAGTATTTGAAAGAACAGACTCTCTCCGTTTTATGTAAAGCTAGCACAACACAAAAACAACAATTCTCTTGCAAAACAATCTTTTTGTTGCACAGAATTTGGAAATGGCTTTAAAAAACAAATTTTGAAACAAACTTAATTATACGTCTAGCAATCTTCAGAGAATAAAACGTCAGAACATAGAAGGAAAACTCTACGCTAAAATACCCAGTTTTGGATCGAAATAGGCCATCAGAAAACGCGAGGACATGACTGTTGAGGTTTTCCAATAAGTGCCCCTTTCCTATTGAAAATGTTACCAACTGCTACATAGATGAAACGATGATCAGGCTTTGCCAATAATGCGAAACATGTCGCCGTTATAATTTTTCACCCAATCTGGGTTTTTCAGTAAATGCCGCTGGATAATGGAATTCCATGTTTTGGTTGTCGTTTTTGATCTGCAAGACAGAGTACCCTGTTCTCTTTGAGGGATAGTTTTGTTTCTATTGCTGGAAGGGACCTGCTGTCTTATTATATCCCCAATCTACAATTCCTACCCATTTCTTCGACTTTCCTCCCAAAAATATTCCTGTTTTCTTAAGATTGAAAGGTTCTAATCGCTACAAACGTACCTTTCGGTTAACTATCCTTTTCCAAATAGATCGAAGTTTATGCCCATCATAACAAAAACCGCCCAACAAGCAAAAAGTTAATTGCAAAAAATGCAGTGACGGGAGAAATCGCTGTTAAAAAAATAAGCCAATTAACCTGTTTTCAGGGTTCTCTGAAAAGGAAAAGGGCAAATGAATGGAAATTTTAGGGGGGCGATTCTCCCTTCATTTTCTGTTTAGGAGAGCAATTCATAGCTCGCCTCAGGTTGCGAGGGGAGCGTGGAGGCGAGCGCGAGCTATCGCTCGCCTCAAACGGCCAGGCCTGGTACTCAGCATAAGAGTAGTAAAAACGTGTTCACATCATGACTAAGCAAGGCTTAACTTAAAGTGTCAATCAATGATACTATGAGTCAAAACATGATAATAGTAAATGTCTTGTCACTCCCACTTATCTAATGTATATTGATATATTAAGCCAAACAAAATATGTAACATAACAAATAATAAACAGTCCTTTCATTATGGTTTATCATCATTAACATAACCCTCAGGCTGCTTCATGTAGATTTTACTGTCCAAATTACCCTAAAGAAATGCTGTTTTTACATCCATTTGATGTATTTCTAAATTGTTCTTGTTTGCCAATGCAAGTAATGAGCATATTGAAGAGTATCAAATGACAGGTGAAAATACCTCTGGGTAATCAATTCCTTCAGCTTGTGAGTACCCTTGAGCTACTAAGCGAGACTTAAAGCGGTCAACAGACCCATCTGCATTCCTCTCAACTTTAAATACCCACTTGCTCCCAACAATATTCTTTCCTTTT